TGAAGCCAGTAGAGTTAGGCATTGGGATCAATGAGTAGTTAAAGGCAGATCAGTATTTAAAAAGCATTAAAAGTGGTCATATCGTATTATCGATGACAAGGCAGGAGCCACAGGAAACTGATGGAGTAGGTTCCCATTAGAGATTCAGTTTTAACACCCTACTAAAGGAGAATGAGGCTACCTCAAAGCACAATTATTAAACCATTACTTTGGACAGTTAAATTTTAAATCAGAAAATGGGTTGTCTCACTGTATAAACAAGTGCTATTTTTAAAAGTTAATGTACTCCCTCAAGGAAGGCCAGTGCAGTAGCTTTGAAAATCCTTTACTGAAAAGAACTGATTGGGCACTTTTACGTGTGCTTTAGGGGTGGGGGGCATTTTAATTTTGAGCAGCTCCAAGAGCCACTGTAATTAAAGCACCATAGTGTGTTGTGTATCGGTGTCCCTGTGCTTCAAAATGGTGCTGGGGGTGCTTGAATTAAAGCTCATTCATTAAGCTTTTGTTCAAGTGCCCCTGCTGCCGTTCTGAAGCATGGGAATGCAGATCCACAAGACACAGAGGGTGGCTGGTGCATGGTAATTACCATACTCCAGCAGACTTGATTAACCGAGTCTGCTCCGATGCACTGTAAATACAGCATGTTGAAGCAGCCTCCCAGCACGTGGACAGGCACCCATAATAACCAATTCTGCTGTTGATTAGTATTGGGTCCAAGAATGTTTTTGAACTGTGTTACATAGGTACTAATAATCATGTGATATACAATAATAAGAATAAACAAGAAGACCTGGTGCTACCATAGGAACAATTTTGAACTTCTGACACTGGCCTCCAATAGACAGAACTCCTATATTCTACAGGAGTAAGTTAAATTTTTCATATCTATGCTGCCACTGATAAATGAAATCTTACCATCCACTCCTGCTTGGAACAGAGGTGGTAAGGATTGCCTCTGCTGCTATTGTCAGGTGTACCAGAGGCAGAGATCTCAAAAGCAGTGTCCCTGGAGAATCTTCCTTGCCTCTGTTCTGGTTTTGGAGCAAGTGGAGAAGGAGTCGGAAGGAGTGGGTTGGGTTCATTTTTACATGTGTCTTAAAAGCACCCAAGGCAGTATAATGCATCCCCTTAAAAGCCTAAGTCCCAGTGAATTTTTCATAAGTCACTTATACACCTTCACATGATTTTACTGTGTTGCCTGAGGTGCTTAATATCTGCAGCCCACCAGAGATACTGTCTAATATTTTTGAATTTTTAATGACCTAGCAGATTCATATGTCCAGAATGCTGTCCAACACTGTTGTACTAGAATAGCAATGATTGCTTAGTGAAGCTTACAGGGTTTTCAAATAGTGCATGCCTATTATTAACAAGACCATTCTTTCCATAGTCTTTTATCTTGCCAAAAAGAATATAGTTTGAAGATAATCGGAGCTGTTAAATATTTAAGAGCTAGATCAAGTGGTCATAAAGGATGAAGTAGGAAGGAAATAGGAAAGCAAGTATATCTACTGATATAAGGAAATGTACAAAATAAGAGTTTGTCAGGTGGTGTTGTTGTTTGGTTTCTCCTACATATTTTCCATCTGGGTGTGTAGTGGAAAATATGTAGGAGAAACCAAGCAACAGTGTACCAGAATGAATGCACACTGAAAATCTATGAAAGAAAAAACACCCAATTACCTGCGGGTGCCCACTTCTCACAAGACAATCACACCGTCTCCAATCTTTGTTCTAATCCTCAAAGGGAATTTACAAAACACGTTTCATAGATGAACCTAAGAACTTCATTTCATAAATGTACTGGATAGAAAAAATCATGGACTAAATATAGACATTGGATTTATAGCACATTATAACCTTCCTGCCATCCAATTACCCTAGGTAACCTCTCTACATTTTACCAGCTACATTCTTTCACCAGGTCAACATTCCCATCTCCCCTGCCGCCACCCCCCACCTGCCTCACACCTATTGTTTCCCATGGCCACTGATCCACACTGCCATACATTTGCATTCAAGTCCATTTGGGTAGATGTGATATTTTTTATTAGACCAACAAAATAGTTGGAAAAGAGTTCTTTGCAAGCTCTTGGGCACAAACACCCTTCTTCAGGCATTGGGAGACTGCTGCTGTTCTGAATTCTCCAAGGTAGAAAAGAAGCTAAAGTAAACAAGAAATCTGTGAAGATGCAGATGAATGGAAATTTCAAAGACAATGAGTAGAGATTGGGGAGGGAGGAAGGGAGGGAAAAGTGTGAAGGAATGCCAGCGGTCAGCTAAAGGCAGGTTACCTGGTGTGTTAGATGTTGGGCAGATTTTAATGTGTCAAAAATCCAATGTCTATATTAAGTCCATGATTTTTTTTATCCACTAGATTAATGAAGTGACATTCGTAGTCTCATCTATGAAAAGTGTTTTGTAAACTCCCTTTGATTATTAGAACTGAGAGATCAGAGAGGGAGTGATTGTCTTGTGAGAAGTGGGTACTCACAAGTAATTGGATATTTTTGTCTCTGGATTTTTGTTGTGTGTTCATACTGGTGCGCAGTTGTTGTTGGGTTTCTCCTACATATATTCCATCGAGGCATTTAGTGAGCTGAATGAGATAGATTACATTTCTGGAGACACAGATGTAAGATCCAGGAATGGTGATGGATTTCTTGTGGGGTGTAATTATTGTGGGACTGGTGGAGATATCTTGGCAGATTTTATATTTCTTGTTCTGGCAAGGTCTGGATCCATTTGGTGTGGTTTGGGTCATAGGAAGCTTGTTTCTGGTGATGCAGTTAGCAAGCTTCGGTGCTTGTTTAAAGGCTAGGATGGGTGGTTCTGGGAAGATCTCTTTAAGAATTGGGTCTTCTTCTAGGATGGGTTGCAACTGTTTGAGGATTTTCCATGTAGGTTCCAGAGTAGGATGGTATGTCATAACTAGTGGTGTGAGATGTGTGGGGATTTTCTTTTTGTACTGCAACAGTTCTTTATATGGTATCTGGCAACCTTGCATGCATTTGCATTTTCACAGACCTGCATTTTGTATACTGGCTTCTGTTCCATCTAGGAGAACACAAAGCAACAGCAGACTCTCCCTGGAAAATGGTATTTGTGCCCGAAAGCTTGCAAGGAATAATTTTTCCAACTATATAGTTGGTTTAATAAAAGATGTTACATTTACTCAAAGAGCCTTGTCTGTCTATGTCCTTAGACCAACATGGCTACAACCACATCTCAGAAGCCTGGGAACATTAAGTGCATGCAGTGACATAGACTGTCAGTCAAGGGTGTGCAGTAAGTAAGCAATAACTCGGAACATACCAGGTGTATCTACACAAGACTTTACAGTGTAGTTAATTGTGCGGTAAACGTCTCAGTGTCTACGTATGCCCCTATTTGGGCACATAAAACCAATAAACTCTGCAGCAGGTTAGGACTTGTAAATACAAGTCATACCCTGCTGTGGAGTTTATTAGCGCAGGGAAGAACACATGTAGATGCTGAGTGGCTGGCTGGGGCATGAGGGTGTTTCAGTGCCAAGGCTGTCTGCCGGCTAGCTCTGCACTGAAGCACCCTTGTGCCCCAGCCAGCCCATCTGCAGTACATTGAGACCAGTCCGAGAATCTCCCCTCACCCCCAGGCACTCCGCCAGCCAGGGCTGCTGCAACCTGATTCAGTGTGCTGTGCTCCGGGTCCAATGTAAGCCACATGCCTAGGAGCTTCCAGGGAGTAACACACTGAGGAGCTATAAGCTCCACAGTGACTGCTGCTCCCCTAATGGCACATATGGATGAGCCTGCCATATTATACAAGGATATGAAATGCTCCAGTATTAGTGCATTTTAAGAAGGGTAAATTAGTCCAGACAGCACACCATACCAGTACAGCCATACTGTTTCTAGCACCTAGTAGTGTAACTTGGGTCAGGCACCTGAGGCAGCATCCCTGGAAGCCAACTTAGTGGGGAGGAGGGTAGGGGCCAGGGAGTAGAAAAATTGTTGCCACTGCAGCTGTACAATTGCTCCCGTGACATGGCTGCAGCTGGATCTCATAATTGCCTTCAGTGCCTTTGAAAATCTCCCTGGCATCAAATCAGATACTTGGCATACCGAACAGTAGTAAGAATCTGATGGTATTGATTGATCAATATAGGCAGGACCCTGTCTAGAAAGAATCCCTTTGACTTCAACAGGAAACTTTGTGATAGGATTGGGGTGAAAGTTTGTATAAGGGAAAATAAAAAGAAATGTGAAGAAGGATGAGTACATGAATATGTGCATCTTTGAAAAACCCACTTGTTTTCTGTCCTGGTTCCCAAACAGCATGTCAATATATACATTATCGTCTGTAGGCTCAATTTTTATATAGAAGATGAATTCCTTAACTGTAGTGCTACTCTACGATGAACCCACCACTCAAAAGTTCGCTGATAGGGTCCCTCGAGCAGAAAGGCCTATGAGAGCAACTGTAAGCATTTTTGGCATTGAGGACCACTACTTATGTGCCAAGAACCCTGTAAGAATGGCATTCAACCCACAGGAAGACCCGTGATGTAAATCACTTCCATTTTGGAAAAAAAATTTTTCATGCTCTGCAAGGAATTATAAAAGCTTATTATGGAAACAAAAAATTAACACATTCTTAATTACATGCTTTTCCAAATTAAACAATACACCATCAGGGATAGTACACAACACACATACTACTATCAGCATTTTTACAGAATTGACAATCAAAATTACCATGCAGTGAGATGATAAATATTTTTTCATTTATTGCTGTTTCTTTTTAAGAAGTACAATTTTAAAAAACCAACAAATGATCAGACTTCTAAAACTGAAACCTTAGCAGGCAGATGACCTTTGGTTCTATCTTTCTGAAGCTACAAAACTGCAATCAGTAGTTTTACTTACCAACTAAAACATGCTTGTATTTTGATTGTAAAGGCCACTTGTGCTTTAATGATCTCTGCATGTGACCTTTTCTAGGTGCTAAAGTGAACTTACCTACAATCCAGCTATTCCATTTTCTTAACATTTTCTAAGATCTCATTTCTCCATACAGCCTCATAAAAGTATATCTTAAAATAAAAGGAATGTAAGGTCTCTCCTGTCCTGGAAAACATATTGTAAAACAGATTATTTTCCTTAGCAAAGGAGGAGAAACTCAGGTTGGCTAAATGAACTCCAGAGAGAAATACCGTTTATCAGGTAAAGGCACAGAAGCTGGTCATGCGTTCAACATGTTCATGGGTTGTTTAATAATTAACTGGAATTTAAAAAGCTGGTTGATGTTGGTTTTAGATGAAGAGTGTGCTTTTTATAAGTTGCACAGCTTCATCAGCTTGCTTGTTTAAATGGGTTTTACCAGAGGAAAAGCATACTAGGAAACAGGCTTTCACTTTTTTATATTATTCTTTCCTCAGTAAATAAATTATTCACATATTTCACGATCAAACAGTTCAAAGACAAAATAGTGACTCTGTGCCAGATTTCTTTCCTTTGGCATGCACTGATGTGATCATTTCCATTTGTGCAAAGGAAGGGCAAAGCAGGGCTAGTAAATCATTCTGATTTGGACGCATTTACACTGGTGTAAGTGACTGCACAAGGTGCAAGACCAAAAAGAATCAGGATTAACAGGTTAAGTATTCAAACCAGTAGGAACATATTATTGATTAGCCAGAACAGTGTTAATGTTTTACCCCGCCTGTCCCTCACTTCACTGTGAGTGGGGGAGAGAATGCAGCAATGTGCAATAACTGACATGATGTTTAAATTAGACGACAAATCCTGGAAGTGTTTTGCTAATACTCTCTTTCATACAATGAGATTGCTTTTCCAAGTAAGACAAAACAGTATTTCTCATGATATATCCAAAATCCTTACCATGCTTGTTTAAAAGTGTTAATGTTGTGAATTAATCTGCAATTGATTAATGAAAAATTCTAATCACTTTTATTTTCTGCTTTTTAAGTAGAATATAGTCCTTTACAATCTGGAAGGGTTGCCTTTCTAACCTCCTGTTACCTTCTAAAGTCTACCTGTGCAGTAAGCAATCAAACTCACGGTTAGGTTTCTGTGCCCTGTAGTGACATTCATATCCTTGTACATTTGGATTTTTTGTTTATGAATGTCCTATGAACCTATGAACTTCATTTCATAAACCTACCGGATACAAAAAATCATGGACTAAATATAAATGTTGGATTTATAGCACATTACAACCTTTCTACAATCCAATAACCCCAGGTAAACTCTCTACATTTTATCAGCTACATTTTTCATCAGGTCAACATTCTCACCTCCCCTGCCACACACACACACACACACACACACACACACACACACACACACACACACACACACACACCCCCTCCCT